TTGCCTTTAAGATTGTGCCTATCAATTGTTTATGAAGATGATACACAATAGTGTCAGATGTATACAGAGAATTAAGTAAGCACTTAGTACGTGAGATTTTCTTCACTACATGTAGGTAAGAATTAACAAATTGTGGGGTGAGACTTGGAATTTGTAATTAAATCAGGTGCTGGCCATGGTGCTGTGTATTTCTGTCCCATCTATACTGCCCACTGTAGTCCAAGTTTCCATCATTCTCTCACCTGGACTACACTGCAGTAGCTTCCTCAATGGTAGCTGTCTTTTAATTCTTGCTGCCCTCTAATTTGTTCTCCATCCAGCAGCCTGACTGATCTTTTCAAAACAGAAATAGATCATGCTTATAAGCTTATAAGTTCTAATACAGTCCTGTTCCTGAAATAAAATCTGTATCTAGAAAAAAAATCAGACTCTAGCTTCAAAATATTTTATGGCCTACCCAGTCTTCCTCTCAAACCTCATCCCATCTGTTGCTTAGTTGCTTGGCCTGCTGACTCTTCTACCTTGCTTGGAAGGATGGGTGTGAAGGGTGAGAGGGATTGAACAATAAAATAGTCATCCTAAGATTTTGAGCTTCAGGGTACAATGTAGTAGTGATATAGTGAATAGCAGTGGAGCAATTTGAAAGGAGTACCAACCACTTTAGGAGTATTCTTTTTGAATTTTTAATATCTTAAAACTTAAGTGGGGTCAGTATGTGTGTAAAATGTATTAAAATCTATACTGTGACCAGATTGGGGTCTATTTTAGGTTACAAGGCTGGCTCAACACTTGAAAACCAATTAATGTAATCAACCATATCAACAGGCTAAAGAAAATACAAGTGGAATAGTCAAAATAAGGGATTGGTGAGAACATAAATGATGTTTGCAATCCCCATTGACTACAGAATGGTACAACAAAGTAGCTAAGAGGGCAGCTTTATGAAAATCAGGCTTGTGTTTTATAAGCATACTAGAGGCCTGATGCATGAAATTTGTGCACGGGTAGGGTCCCTAGGCCTGGCCGGCGATCAGGGCCTTTTGTTGCCAGCCTGGGCTTTCCTTCCGGCTGCTGGCTAGGGCCTTCCTTCCCCAGCTCCTGGCCACTGGCCAGGGCCTTCCTTTGTTCCGCGCTGCCCCCTGGTGTCAGCGCATGTCACAGCAAGCGATCAAACTCCTGGTTGAACTCCCGAGGGGACATTTTGCATATTAGCCATATATATAATATATATATGATATATACGCATATGTCATATATTATATATCAGAGATCCTCAAACTACGGCCTGCGGGCCACATGCAAATACAAATATTGTATTTGTTCCCGTTTTTTTTTTTTTTTACTTCAACATAAGATATGTGCAGTGTGCGTAGGAATTTGTTCATAGTTTTTTTTTAAACTATAGTCCGGCCCTCCAACGGTCTGAGGGACAGTGAACTGGCCCCCTGTTTAAAAAGTTTGAGGACCCCTGTTATATATCATATATATATTATATATATGTATATATCATAAAATCTAAATCCTTTACTTGTCATTCCATTATCTAGTCTCACCTTTACTGTTAATAGGGAAACTGAGTAGAGGAGGAAGAGGGTATATGGGAATTCTGTACTTCACAGATAATTCTTCTGTTAACCTAAAAATGCCTTGAAAAAGTGAACTATTAATTTTAAAAAGACCGAGCCTTTTGACAGATGGAAGCCTGCTTATAAAAATCTGGTTGTTGTAGGTTTTTTGGGGGGCGGGGGGACAGGTAAAAAAATTTTTTTTGGAAAACAGTATACAATTTGGAATGGAGTTGAGGCAAATTGTGCTATGAACAGATTTTCTTTAAGTGGCTAAACAAAGTTTTTTAAAAAGCAATAACAATAAAAGAAAATGTTTCTGGTATAGGATCAGCCGTACAAAAAAATACTGTACAAGTACCTGGATAATACACCTGTTTTGCAATAGTGCAACTTTTAAGTACATATTGTTGACTGTCCATAGTCCTCGCAGAGTTACAACTCCACACTTCAACAACATGCTGACAGTTCTTAAAGAAAACTACTTTAAAAAAGTAGTTAACCAGATGTTCCCTCAGTTGACCAACTCCATCTACGTTTAGATGTGCAGAAGTGCTTAGATATATCCAGAGTAAGCCACATGCAACATGATACTTGATCAATTTTCTAAAATCAAGTTTCAGGACAATGACCGTAAGGGAAGAAAACATGGAGGAATGAAGTCCTAATTACTATACATGCATTTCTTTTTTGACAGTAGGGGGAACCTTTTACAGATAAGTTACAAAGAAAAGGCAAATAAACAATTTTGTACAAGAAATTTAACACATTCTGTACAATATCTTCACTTTGTTGTCTTCATTTGTACAAACTATAGCTTATTTGACTATCACCATCAATATCTGCTTCCCTGATCGTTTCATCAACCTCTTCATCTGTTAACTTCTCTCCAAGGTTTGTCATCACATGGCGAAACTCTGCTCCACAATATAGCCATTGCCCTCCTTATCAAACATGCAGAATGCTTCTTGAATTTCTTCTTCACTGTCTGTGTCTTTCATTTTTCTTGCCATCATTGTCAGAATTCTGGAAAGACGACTGTGCCATTACCATCGGCATCCACTTCATTTTCATGTCCTGTAACTCTACTTTTGTGGGATTCTGTCCAAGAGACCTCATTACGTTCCCAATTCCTTTGTTACAGTTCCATCACCATCCTTGTCAAATAGTGGAAAAGCTTCTTTGAATTCTGCAGTCTGGTCTTCAGTCAGTTGGTCAGCCATGCTGCAAGCACTACTGGTCTCCGAGAAGTGACTACATAACCACTCAACCCGCTCGCTCCACTGACTAATCTCTTGTAGCTTTTTAAAATACAGACACTCCACTATAAAATTGTTATTTTTTAGTAAAGAGTCAAAAATCACCACCGCCATTTTTTAAAAAATGAGAAAAATAACTTTAAATGCCAGATTTTGCCAGAGGAAATTCATGGGGAACCTGAATATTAGTGGTGAGTACTAGAGTCTTAAAAGGGGAACTCCTGAGCCATTTATGACAGGTTATGTGGTTACATCAGTTTTTTTGATCATCGGCATTTGGAAGCATGCGTTTTAGCTTGTGCCAGCTGATGAGTAGATGCCTATCTTGCATGGACCCATCATAACCCCTAGACTTGTTTTTTCCCTCTGTCACAACTTACCAGGCTATAAAAGTTTTATCTCTTTCAAGATGTGTTTAGTGAATTTAAAAATAATTTCTGGGCCAAATAATAAATGTAGAAAGCACTGCCACGTAGGGAAGCACTGGTGAACCCTTTTGAAGACTAAAGAATTCTTTGATTTAAATGTGTAAACCTCCCCTACCCCAATTTATTTTATAGCAGATTCATATTTCAACTTAATTAATGAAAGCCACACTTATGTTTAATGGCTGCATTAAAGATTTATAAGAAAAATTAGCTTTAGAGTGTTCAGAATGCTCTAGTATATTAACATTTCTGTCTTCTGCCTGAATTTTATTTTGTGTTTGATGTTAACATTTTAAAACTGAATTAAATAACAAAGGTGTTATTTATTTATTTACTTATTTATTTAGCCTTTTCACAGTATCAGATTTGGGTTATGTAAAAGACTTTGGCAAATATGCTTACTACAATTTGAAATCACTGTAATCAACTTTTGTTGTTGAACAATGTGACTGCAATTGAACTTGACACATTATTTTGAGTGATTTAAAATATCATTTTTGTGTTTGCTTGATTAACAAAGGCATCATTTAGTAGCAACTGATCTAATAGCCAGATAAATGGCCAGAGAAAATCTTTGAAAATAAGGAATGAATATGTAGGAGTGTATCTTTTGTAGTTTTTAGGTAGCAATCTAGCATTTAATTTTGCTCACTTAACAGACTAATCAATGAAGCACTTTTGCTCATTTAACAGATTTTAATCAACTAAATGTGACATTGACTTGTTTAGTTAGTATCCTGATTTTTTCCATTTTATTTTCACTTCATTATATTTATTTGCTTAGGTGGAATCATTAATAATTAGAATGGTTGTTATTTGTCCCAATACATAGTGGCAACATTTCTAGCCTAGTATAAAGTGCTGCCTCTGTGTTTTACATAACCTTGTGATGAAACTACTGGTTTAGCTTTCTTTAATGTAACATCACATACTTAATCACTCAATTTGTGATTGGTTTTCCAGGTTAATGTTGTAGGGTAGGAAATCAAGAGTTTAATAAAACTTATTACTATATAAATATTTATCTTGGTAATTGTCTGTGGTAAAAATATACACATGCCAAACATGTGTTTATAATCCTGAAGGCATGCTTGGATTAATGAGTATTCTTAAATTATACTAGAGGCCCGTTGCACGAAGAAATTCGTGCAGTAGGCCTTCCCTTCCCCTGGCTGCGGGCACCGGTTTTCCTCTGGCGCCCGGGACCCAGGCCTTCGCTCTGATCGGAGCCTTAAGTCGTCGTGCCTACATATGCAAACTAACCGCCATCTTTGTTGGGTTAATTTGCATACTCTCCTGATTGGCTGGTGAGCATAGCGGAGGGACGGTCAGTTTACATGTTTGTCTATTATTAGGTAAGATTTGGTTAATATATGCTTAGTGTATACAATATAGTTGTTGCTACTTACTGGCTGCTATTGGAAAATTTAAAGTATTTTGGAATACATATATAAATCTCTAAATTAGAAATTTTGTATTAATGATATTCAAATGCAGAGAAAGTTTAAATTCAATTCAAAGATTTATGATGGTTTCCTTCACACATAGAATTATTTTTAAGTTTGATATTTGAAATCAGGTACACACCATATTGTCTTAGTTTGAAATAATTCCATATGGAACCTTACCAATATACTCAAATAATTAGTCAAGGTATTTACTTTGCATATAATTTGTATGTGTGTCTGATTTTATTTAAAGCAAAAGTCGAACTTTCTTGCCTACCAGTTTATACTTCTCTGAGCAAAATGCTATTGCGCTATGAATTTATGTATTTAGTAACTAATAAAATAGTTTTGTATAAATTTTGCTCAAAAAGGTGACCTGTCTGGGTAGTAGTTGACTTAATTTATTATTAATTGTCTTTTATTTTATAGGGGACTACTGAGCCAAGCCAGGCTGTATGCCATTGCTGCTGAAAAAAAGAATTATCTTCAAGAGGAGTCCGCTTCTTCTCAAAGAAGGAGCGCCAGTCAGTTTGATTGGGCTCTCATGAGACTAGATAATTCTGTCCGAAGAACTGGCCGCATCCCAAAGTCACTTCTACAAAAAGTCTTTGATAATACCTGTCACTCAGGTATTTCAAACTTTTCTGTTTAAAAAGTTGGACTTCTAAAAAATATATTTTATTGATTTTTTACAGAGAGGAAGGGAGAGGGAGAGTTAGAAACATCAATCAGCCACCTTCCACACACCCCTCTACTGGGGACGTGCCCGCAACCAAGGTACATGCCCTTGACCAGAACCGAACCCGGGACCCTTCAGTCCGCAGGCCAACGCTCTATCCACTGAGCCAAACTGGTCAGGGCTAAAAAGTTGGACTTTTAATAAGTACTTGTTTGTGGGCAAGCTCTTTGATACTTTTAATTTTGTTATTTCTAGTGATCATGATTTTATTTTATTTGTTATCTTTCTGTCTTTCCAACTCATCAGGGAAAACTTTTGAGTAACTAAGACATTTTGTTTCAGGTGTTTTTTTCAAAATCAAATCAAAATTGCCCTTTTGCTTTCACAGTTTATAAAAGAGTCACTTTTAGTAGTAAATTTTCTTGGAAGATAATAGTTTTTCTTATTTTCCATTGTTTAGTATCAGCTTTACCTAAAATAATCACAAATGACAGATTCCCAGGAACACTGTTAATCATTTCCCTTTTATTATTTCCTTTTTACTTTCACTTAGCTATTAAAATTTATTTGAATCACTTATGCAACTTGATAATTTGATGGAAGCTTGTAAGCCCTCTACTTCCCTATCCCCTCACACACACAAAAAAGCCCACATGTGCACACGCATGATTTTATTTGTAGTTTCAGAGGATTCACCAGCTTACCAAAAGCCCGTCCGTGGATTTCAGTCACATTAAGAAGCTATAGAGTTTAATGAAGAGGGATACCAAAGAAGTGTCATTTATAATTAATATGCATTTAAATAATGTTTTTCATTTTCTCTTTTTTGATTTATTCAGAATTGTACAACTATCACTACAATTTCAGAACATTTCTATCACCCCAAAAAGAAATCTTCATACCCCCATCAGCTCCCAAACCTTCCCATCTCTTCCACTCGTAGGAAACCACTAGTGTACTCTCTGTTCATATAGATACTGTATGTTATTCTGGATACTTTATATAAATGGAATCAAACAATTAGTGATTTGTTTTTGTTTTAAAGTCAGCTTTCAGGGACATTTTGATAAAGGACATGGATAAAGGGAGAAGAAAGTTGATATTATTTTGTAACTATTTATAAACCTAAAATTGATATCCATGGGTTTTAATTGTACTGCTTTGTGTTATTTCATAAGATACTGAAAAAACTTAGCCTTTGAATTACAGTAAGCACTGCTTATAAATTAGGTTCCTTGTATTTTTGTATTCTATAGTCTTTCAAATTACAGACTCATAACCTTAGCTGCCTTAAGAAAGCAGACTAATTTTTAAAAACTTAGAACATTTAGTAACATTGTAAATTATACTTGTGCATTTTTCAAATTTACAGGTAGTCTTTTTAATATTATCTGTAGGGAGGCAAGAGAGTCTTGAATATTTTTAAATTTCAGTTTAAGATTTGACATTTATCTATATGATATCGGTACTGTGTTAAATGTTATCCATTGATCTTTTTTCATAGGCTGCCCAGGTGGTAATCATGCCTTGCTTCTGCTGCGCAGCTGTGGTTCTCTCCTGCCTGAACTAAAGCTCTCAGAGAGGACAGAATTAGCTCATAGGATATGGGACAAACTTCAGGAATTGGGTATGATTATTTGAATATGTGATGTGTATAAAAAGGTGCCGAAAGTTTTTCCCTTTAGTTAAAAAATAAATTTCTTTAAATAGACTCTATAATTTAATTTTATACAAGGGCTACTTGATTCATAAATTTTTTTTACAATATGATTTATTCAGTGAGTTCTAGTGACATCTAGGGGCATTAAGAATAAAATAAATTTTCATCTCAAGTATTACTTTTATGATAAGCTAAAAAGCAAAATAAAATTAAAAAGGACTTTGGTCTGTCAAAGTTATAAATGCACATACCATTTCACTAAGCAGTTCCATTTGTTTGAATTTAGTGACAGTTATACTCTCATTTACAGAAGGATATTCTTCATTGTAGTTTATTTGTAATAGTAAGAAATTTGAACCAATTTTAATGTCCCTCAGTATGGGATTGATTAAATAAATTATGGAGTGTCCATAAAATGGAATATTGTGCAACTGTTAAATAAGGAGTTCTTCATATATGAATGTGAGGTGTTTTTTCAAATTTAATAAAGAATTAAGGTGCAGAACCGTATACCATGCTACCATTTTGAAGAAAAATGTTTATATGTTTATGTGCATACAAAACAGTTTAAACTTTGAGCTGTGAACATAGCACCTATTTCAAAAAAAATAGCTTAAAAGACCATTTGATAAAATCCAATGTTCATTCCTGATGTAAAAAAAAATTTAAAGAATAGATGGGTGTTTCTTTAACATGTTAAAATCTAAAGCCAACAACTAATAAATACCATGTATAATGGCAATGAAATAAGATGTGAAACAATACTGTAAATTATTGTTTTTTAGGTGATGTGCTTGTTTGCCTGTAAAATTTCAGAAAATTAACTTACAATAAAATAGTTGAAAATATTAAATGGTCACAAATCTATAACTTTTCATAGTTAGAAACTAAAATAGATAAAAGTATTCAAGTGTAGTCACAAATATATAAAATACCTAGGAATATCCTTCATGTGATGTGTAGCACTTACATAAACTATAGAATAAAGACAGAGCTTCCCCTGAGAGATTTGAATTCATCTAGAATTAATTTTGATGACAGGTTCATTTTTTAAGTTTTTAAAAGTGGATATGAAATAAATATATTTCAGAATGGAAAAGAGTTTTCTAAGTGTAAATACAACAGAAAAGTGAAGATAAAGAATTGACCATAAAAACTAGGAATATCTATATGTCAATAAGTCACATGCTTTATAAAAAACACATTGAACTGGGAAAAATATTTGTGAAAAAGTTATGTGCTAAAATACAAAACGTTACATAGTCATAATGTTAACACCTCAATAGAAAGATAGACGCCATTTTCTAGTATGTGTGTGGAATCCATAACATCTTTTGTTTTCCTCTTTGCTAGGACCATCATGCTTTCTTTGTGCATATTACATTTAATAAAAAATAAGTGTTTAGTTACTATATGGTAACCTTGTTGCATAATCAGAAAGCAGATATTGAATTGCACATGGTTTTGTTTAAGACCTTTAACCACCATAGAGTACTATAGTGGTTAAGAGATTGCATTCTCAAGGCAGAACACCTATGTTCAAATTTGTGATCACTCACTAACCATTTGGCTTTGGACAAGTAGAAGTCAGTTTTCTTCATCTGTAAGACGGGGATGATGATAATGCTTGCCTCAAAGCTATTGTGAAGAGTAACTGAGCCTTTATAAGCAGAGAACTTAGCACAGTGCCTGAAACATAATAAAGCACTTTACATGTCTGTGTGTTAAGATAAAAAATAAATATTGCCCTGGCTGGTGAGGCTCAGTTGTTTGGGCATCATCCCGAGCATCGCCAGGTTGTGGGTTCGATTCCCAGTCAGGGCATGTGCCCAGATTTTGGGCTCAATAGAGCCTCAGTCCCTGGTATTGGGCGTACAGGAGATCGATGTTTGCTCTCACATTGATGTTTCTCTCTCTCCCTCTCCCACTCCCTTTCTCTCTCTCTTAAAAAAAATCAATATAAAATAATATTTTAAAAAATTCCCCAAATATTAATTTAACAGAATAGGTCTCTGCTCCCTTGAATTTCAGCTGATAGCAGACACTGACCATAGGCCTATGTAGCCACAGGCAGATGAATAAAGATATTTAATTCATGAAAATTTGGTAAAACATGTTAATACTGGATTGATCTGATCACTCTGATGTGATGAGTGGATATAGTAAGTCTTGAGTGGTAACCTTAATTAACGCGGCCTTAGGCAAGATAGTTGCAGAAGGAAAATAAAGGTCATTGGAATACAGGTAATTAATAAAAGCAGAATAGAAATGGTGTTCAGCAACTGAGTATGGAGTAGAATTGGAACCTGTCAAAATCTTTGAGTAGCCTGGTTAGTAAGTAAGCAGAATTACCAGCATAGTCTTACCTGTGTAAACAGCTATGGTCACAATCTGTCCATCTCAGTGTCTGTAATGTGGCAAGGACTGCTTTATGTAGAAAGATCTTTCAGTCACTGTAAATACAGGGGAATTGTCAGCATTTTCTAACAGGGAGGGAATACTATGCTTCATAAGTAAGAGACCTCTTAATATCTGAATAGGCAGTTACTTGTAACTATAGTAATTCAGTAATTACTGTCTTGCATGTTTAGCTTGCTCTATCTGTTCTGACAGGCTTTCTACATAAGTGGGTCTAAGTTTGCTGTGAAATACTTAAGTGATCATTTACTCTTGTTGTTTATTAAATTTACATGTTTTAGTTGTGATAAAGAATATGATCTTAAGCATTCTTCTAAAAATCTGATTTAAATTTCATTTGTAGGTACTGTGTACGATGTAAGTCACTATAATGCTTTACTTAAAGTCTACCTTCAAAATGAACACAAATTTTCACCAACTGACTTCTTGGCAAAAATGGAGAAAGCAAACATTCAACCAAATCGTGTAGGTAGCTGTTATTATAAATGTTTGTTGTCACATCCACTCTTCTTTTTTTCTTTACTAGGAATACTATTTAAAAAATATTAAGTGGCCCATTTCATTAACAGGTAACATACCAGAGATTGATTGCTGCTTATTGTAACGTGGGAGATATTGAAGGTGCCAGGTATGGAACTCTATAAAAGTATGTATAAACAAACAAATATTTTTCTGTAAACCTAGGATATTTTTCTTTTTAATAAGGGAAATTATTTCAGAAGTATTCTAATCCAGCATATGTGGTAATATGACTTCCATATACAATATAAAATTATGTAAGAGGTGAAAGATAAGTAACAATTGTTATTTTAATTAAAAATTTAATTTATTGAAGCAGAGGTTTAAAATTGTTGAGATATAAAGCTATCTTTACTTTAAAGGAAATGCTCTTAGCTATTTAAATTGTATTCGTTTATAAAACTTATTTGTCTCACAGGTTCATATAAAATCAGTTGTAACATTTCTCTGCTTGTGTAAAATGTATTACTACTTTTGGATAGAGGGTTTAGGAAATAAGGGATATATGGAAATGTACAATCTTATTTTTAACTCATTGAACTTTAATAAACTTTATGCTTTTTAAAGGTTAATTAGTAGCATAGAAGAAACAATCAGATTTTTAAAAATTACTATTTTTATTTAACAAGAGTACTCCAAGACTATTGATATATTTTCAAGGAATGGGGTTTTGTGTGTACGTGTTCTAGAAAGTGTTTTTGATGTATAATTCCAAGGAGTATTTTTATTTCATTTTTTATTGCAGCAAGATTCTTGGATTTATGAAAACTAAGGATCTTCCAGTCACAGAGGCAGTATTCAGTGCCCTTGTTACAGGGCATGCAAGAGCTGGGTATGTTCAACCTAAAGTTTTGTTCTCAGGCGAGGTTTAAATTATAGAAAAATATTGCAGAAAATCTTAAACCATGTTTATCAACCTCCTCAAAAAAAAGTTTGAGCATGTGAGATAGAACCTGCGCATTTAAAAAATACCTTATTTTTAAATTTATCAGTTTCACAAACATTCATTTGAAAATGTTCAGTTGTAAAAATTGGGACTGGCCAAATGTGTCTGACTTTGTAAAGTTTATTAACTGATCTGCTGGTGCCCTGGAAAATATTTTTTTGGTGTGAAGAATAATTTGCTAAAATGGTAAATTTGAGTTGTAACATATTTAGTGAAAGAATACACATTCTTTAATGTCTATGTAGTTATTATACAGTTTGGTTTTTCTTTTGTAAAAATTACCTGTAAAAATTTGGGATGTTTATGATCTTTATTTCTAAAACCTTTAACCAGTTTAATATGTATTTTCCTTTTCTGATGTTACCATGTTTTTAATTTTGATAAGTATAGGTAAACATTTGAGATTGAATGATATATTACATTTGACAGTATTATGGTAACCTGTTTTATTTTCCTTGAATTAACTTACAGAGATATGGAAAATGCAGAGAATATTCTCACAGTGATGAAAGAGGCTGGAATTGAGCCTGGTCCAGACACATATCTAGCCTTATTGAATGTGTATGCTGAGAAGGGTGACATTGACCATGTTAAGCAGGTATGACTTATTGTATAAATAAACATACTTTAAAATCATTTTTATAAACTTACAGAAGAATATAGTTTTTATCTGTTTTTAAAGGTATCTTTTGAAAGTAATAGTATTGATAGAATTCCTATAGTTTGGTACCTCGGTGTTGAAGCAGAATATTTCTGTTTTATAAAGGAAGTCTCAAATCTTTAGATGATATATGTTCCTAATTAAAATTTTTGTATTTTAATATATTTAGCTTTAATTTAAAAATACTGCTTTCTGACTTACTCTTCTATTTTCTGGAACTATCTATAGACTCTGGAGAAGGTGGCGAAGTCCGATCTTTACCTTATGGACCGTGATTTATTGCAAATTATCTTTAGCTTCAGTAAAGCTGGGTATCCTCAGTATGTCTCAGAGATTTTGGACAAAATTTCATATGAAAGAAGATATATTCCAGGTAGTTTTATAAATTTTACTTTCATGATTTTTGTAATCATCTGAATTACTGCTTTTACATGATGAAAAAGGCATTCTCTAACTATAGGGGGGTTGTGATAGATGAACATAGGACTCAAAGTCAGCTTAATAAACTAAAAAACTTGAGTTAATGGATACATTGGAATGTTTTGATGTGTAAGTGTTCCATTATTATTTGGGATATTTTAAAGGATAGTATTGTATCCTTTTGGTGTTTGTTGTTCATAAGTTTGTCTTTCATATTGGTGAAGTGTAAAAGTATTATTCAGTTCAGTAACAAAAGATGTCTTTGTTTTCTTCCCAGATGCAATGAACCTTATTTTGCTTTTAGTCACTGAAAAATTGGAAGATACAGCATTGCAAGTTTTATTAGCATGTCCTTTATCAAAGGAAGATGGTCTGAATGACTTTGGCAGTTTCTTTTTACGGCACTGTGTGACTATGAATACGGTATTCTGTTCATTTTTACATTGTAGACAGTGTAATGGGTAGTGAAATAAGATTTTTTAAAAGTATTAAGGACCTGTTATGAGATTAGACCAAACATAAATACTATGAAAACTTTGTTTTTGTATTGTAAGATGATGGATAAAATGAGGATGAGAGGTTCAGACTTTGAGCCCAAAAGTGTTAGAATATTTGCAGAAGATCAAAGGGAGCTGATGTGTTCTTTTTTTTCCCCTAGCCTGCAGAGAAGCTGAAAGACTACTGTAAGAAGTTAAAGGAAGCCAAGCTGCATTCATCTCCTTTGCAGTTCACACTGCAGTGTGCTTTACTAGCCAATAAAACTGGTACTGTATTCTCATAATTAAAACCAACAAAAATAAGTTTTTCTGGGGTAGCTTTGTAATATTTAATGGTATCTCTTTCAGATTTGGCAAAAGCTCTAATGAAGGCTCTGAAGGAAGAAGATTTTCCTATCAGAACTCACTATTTCTGGCCACTGCTAGTTGGACATCAGAAGGAGAAAAATGTTCAAGGTTAGGTCTTGCCTTTTACAGATTTATAATGGCTCAGAGATCCATGGTAGCAGTTTCTATATACATCTAATTGAATTCTTTGGGAAAGCGTACTTAAACTGAGTATGAGATCTGAGAAAATTGAGTTGATGTAAATCATAGTAAAATATCATCAGCATTTAAAAAACCAAATGGTAATGGATTTCTTTCGTCTTAATTACACTAATTTTATTTATTAATTCATCTCTGATTTTGATACTCAAACTTGTGAGTATAGTTTTAAATAAATAGTTCATTATTTTTATGTTTTCCTAAAACTCTTTAGTTTTTTATTTTATATATAGAGTTTGAAATAAGTTTGCCTCGCCTTATTGAAGATAAAGTTATATATAATTAGGCCATTTTCTTTGTGGACCAGTCTCTTTCTCCTTAACAGAGCTGAGTTATAATAGGAAAGACAGAAAAACTTTCATTGCACAATGAGTGCTCATGACCTGACAGCCTGCTGATTGAAGGGCAGAAATGTTCAGTCTTTCAGGTTCTTAAGTACATTTAAGCATTTAGCATACCTTTTTCTTGTACACATGGGATATCTATAGGATATGAATAAGAATTGAACAAATATTAAATTTTAGAGTACAGTATCTAATTCTTTGGTTTGCATTATTGGTAATTCAGAAAGAGTAGTATCATAAAAAGATGCTTTTAACGGAAGTACTTCCCCCTTGGGGAAACAAAAAATGGTCTTTTTCATTTTATCTCAAAGTGTAATGTGCTTAGAATGAGATGCAGAGTTGTTAGTATGACATTGGGTGACAAACAGAATGCACAAACAACAAAAAAGTGCTTTTAGCAGACTTTTATATTGCAATTTTATTTTAAATATATAGCTGTCTTCTGGCTTAAAGGAAATAGTGAAACAAGTATTCCCTAATTGTTTCTGGCTATAAAAGTCTCTAAATCCTTTTTAGAAAAATCTTTGGAAAACAATATGCTAGTTGATTAACTCTTTGCATAACCTCTAATTCTGAAAGCTTGAAGAAGTAATCTTTAACCCATATTTTTGAACCACAGAAAGTTTACATCGTTCCATAAAAATGAGTGGGCATATAAGTAAGTATTGTCCACCTTTCCACAGATTTAAAAATATTTTTGGGACTCCTTTTTAGATGTTTGTTGCTTCATCAGGTAAATTTGTTTTCCTCAGCCATAGCACTGTAGCTAGTCTTGAATTGGATATCATATTTTCACACTTAGTACATACAAAAGGTAATTTTTTTCTGTACATGTAGCTCACACTAGTAGAAAAGTGGGCATTTTATCTTGAATTTCTTTTCTAGGAACCTTAGAATTTAGGTTTGTGAGGTGTCTTATTGAAAGCTCAAATTATATTGATGAAGGAACTGAGAGCCACAGAGAGATTTAGTGAGTGACCTTAAGTTCCACATCTAGCTGTCAGTAGTGCTGGGATTACATGTGAGGATTTCTGCCCTCTCTACTAGACGTTTGTAAATATTATGCTAAATTTATTTTATGAAAATTTTTAGCTATTGATTAAAACTTAGATACTGATTTTTGCATTAGGGGCATTTAAAAAAGTATTACCACGTTTTTTAATCAGTGAAGGTTTTTAAAAAAAGTAATTTGTCTTCCAGTTACAGTTGACATGGAAAATATTAGTTTCAGGTGTTTCAACATAGTGTTTAGACCGGCCCGTTTGAAATGAATAAAACTAAAAAAAAAAAGACCGTACCCTTTTATGTAATGCTGTTTACTTTGAATTTATATTAGTTCACACAAACACTCCATCCATGCTTTTCTTCCGGCCCTCCGGTCCATTTTAAGAACCCATTGTGGCCCTTGAGTCAAAAAGTTCGCCCACCCCTGGTTTAGACATTTATATATCTTACAAAGTGACCACCTTCGTGAGTACCCATCAACACCATACATAGTTATTACCATATTATTTTATTCCCTGCGCTATACTTAACATCCCTATGACTTTATAACTGACAGTTTGTACTTCTTAATCTCTTTCACCTTTTTTATCCATTCCCCAACCTCCCAGAGTCAGTGAAGGTTTACCTAGAAAAATAGAAAAGCTGAGAAAGGTAACTTGAGAGTACAAGATAGTGTCAATTGTTTTACAGTTTTTAAAAACTAGTTTCTCCTTTGCAGGAGAGACAGAAATATAGAAAAGTCACATATTCTACTACCTTTCTTCATGTAACAGGGAAATGGCAGTATATAATCTCTAGTTTCTTTAGTGTAAGGTAAGCAACTAACATTCTTATTACTGCAGTGAGTTCATTCTTTGTCCAGGGAAAGTCACATATAAAAGAAGAAAATAATGGCTGTAGTGATGGAGGGTGTAGAGGAATGTTTCCTGTGGAATAAATAAAACCATTCAGGATAAGAAAGATATTTAGGGTCAGATCAAATTGCACCAAGAGTTTTCAACAATAGGGTGAGCAAATTTTTATTGAATTCTGGAATTTTTCTGGCTGTGAATTTAGCCATGACCAGCCACTAAGACAGCCTCTTACAATGACTTCCTCGTGGTTCATCTTACTAGTATATTTCTTTGTGGCACAAATGGAAAAGTCATCACTTAGAATTTTAGCAAGTTGGCCTGAATAAGAAGAAATAACCCAGAATAACTAAGGATCTACATCTCTTGGTATATTTAGAAACTATAAAAATAAGAATATAGGAAGGGTAAAATATATGGAAGAGCCGATAAGAAAGCCTAAATGCCAGTTGAGTGAAGTGTTTGAATAGAGAGTATTTTCAAAAAGTAAGAAATTGGGTCCTAATAAAGTGAGTGCTCTGGTTAGAGTCTAAAATCACGTAAATGGTCATAGTTAGTAAAAGTTGATCAGGTAAACCATTTATCTTTCCCAAAAGTTTGAACTATTTTAATTCTTATAAAATTTTTGGGTTGGAAACTTTCCTCTAGAATCATAAAGTTTCTTATGACAATATTTGAAATTTTTTATTAGATTGTTTATTTAGTCTTAGTTTAGATTTTTTTTTTAAATATATATATTTTATTGATCTTCCACAGAGAGGAAGGGAGAGGGATAGAGAGCCAGAAACATCAGTGAGAGAGAAACATTGATCAGCTGCCTCCTGCACACCCCGTACTGGGGATGTGCCCGCAACCAAGGTACACGCCCTTGACCGGAATCGAACCTGGGACCCTTAAGTCCACAGGCCGACGCTCTCTCCACTGAGCCAAACCGGTTACGGCCTTAGTTTAGATTTTTTAAGTTCACAGAGCTTTGGGATCCGTGTTATGATTATTTTAATCTTTTTAAAAAAGAAATATGAATTGTATTTTTTAGAGGATGTAGGTATGTCAGATCAGTCACCTTTTTTCTCCTTACTGATAAATGTTTCTTCCCATCTGACTATATTATTATTTTTAAAAAATCATCACTTGGGTCACGCCTTGAGAGAGAGAGAGAGAGAGAGACTGATGTGAGAGTGAAACATCAATCAGTTGTATGCGGCTCAACTGGGGATCAAACCTGTAATCAGGGTATGTGCCTTGAGCAGTAATTGAACCTGTAACATTTTGGTATGTGGGACGATGCTCCAACCAGCCTAGTGAGCTACACCAGCCAAAGCCTGACTGTATTACTGAAGTGAATATTTTTGGTATACTTCCTGAGAATGCCTGAGGTATTGACTGAACTTATCTGAGGGAGTGACTGAACCCAGATCTTATTAAACCTATTTTAGTTTCGGTTAGAAAAAACATGTTATAAATGCTAGTAACACAGGTCGTCTGGTAAGCAGAATGTACTCTTCCTCTTGATAAACATTATTGGGAAAAAAATCAATTAAGAGAATAAAAAGTATTTGAGGTGTAGATGATTAGGTGAAGTGTTTGTACAGAATAAAGTTATCAGTAAGTTGACCATTTTCACACATTAGAAAATTATATGGGTTACCTTATGCTACATTGATTCTACATAATATCTAAGGAAATTTTAAAAATTCTTAGAGTGTTTTAAAATGAGAAAATTAAATCATTGTTACTATTAACAGTTATTTAATACTTTCAGGGTTTCACACATTATTTTCTTTTAATTTTTATGACTGCCTTGAGAGGTAAATAGGGAGCATTATTATAATCTCTTCTATATTAAGAATTTCACTTATCTTATTTCCCAGTCCTGTTATTTTTCTGCTTTCTTTTTTAGGCAAACAAAATGCTAAGTATTCTTCATTATGATTCAGAAGCTGAATGAACTAAACTTTCTGATCTTTTGTTAATTTATTCACAATTCTTCATCTCGGTGCTTTTAAATTTTATAGGTATAGTTAAAGTCCTCAAAGAAATGCATGAAATGGGAGTAAATCCTGATCAGGAGACATACGTAAATTATGTGTTTCCATCCTTTGATAGTGTAAAGTCAGTTCGTGCTGTATTGCAGGTGAGTTCAAATATGATTTTAATTTCATAATTAAATTGAATGTCTTGCCTCCGTAATGTTTTGTGTGACTAAAAAGTAAAAAGTCATTAAGCTGAGCACTAAAAATGGTCGTGTTTGTATGCAGTTTTCTAAAAATATTGGTAAATCTTAAAAAACCTTAAAGTAAAGCAGCATTATTGTGTATTGAAAGATAATATGCCAATATCAGAAATATGTAAATAAAACATTATTTGTGCCTTAATCCCACTTTGTAATGCAGCTATAATTTTCATTTTTTGAATACTACTTTTCACTTCTATATGAATTTTCATAATACACTCAGTATATTTACTATTCTGTTTTTTAAAAATAATCTTTTGTTTGACTCCAAAGCATTATTTTCCTGACCAGTGTGTCCTGTCTGCATGAGAACAGGGAAGGCCTTTATGAGGAAATAGACTTGTATCAGCAAGGGTTGCACTTTCCATGTTCTCCATTTTCAAAACAAAGTGCTACGTACAATTAGGGACAACATGGCAGAGCATCAAATACTTTAATAAGAAATATTTTGTTCAAAATATCTGGTTCCTAGATGGTTATTCACATGATGCCTTGACTTTTTTTTAATATTAGAGCATTCTTTTCTTTCTTTGAAATAATTACATAATTACAACCTTCTGAAGGATAGAGTTTACGTCTTGAGTGTCTTTACCTCTTTTCTCTGAGTTCTTAGCAGGGTATTTTGGGCCTGTACATATTTTATTGTTAAAAAAAGAATTAAAGCCGAAACCGGTTTGGCTCGGTGGATAGAGCGTCGGCCTGCGGACTGAAAGGTCCCAGGTTCGATTCCAGTCAAGGGCATGTACCTTGGTTGCGGGCACATCCCCAGTGGGAGGTGTGCAGAAGTAAAATATATTTAAAAAAAGAATTAAAAAAGTAACTTCCTACATATTCTTATTTCCCTAAATGTCCTTTTTTTAACTTGGCACCTTTCCATTATAGTGTGTAACTCTACCAATTATTTTTTATGCTTGCATGCTGTGTTATTGTATGGATATACCATAATTTATTTATTTTTCATTGCTTATTATTGCTTGGGTGGTTTTTAATATTGTGCTATTATACTGTGACTTAGAAAGTATATTTGAGCTAATTTTTGGCTTCTGTACTTAAATAATTACATAAATGATCATGTTAGGAAAAGTGAAAACCACTTGGAGATAAATTAAATTTTATTTTTACCTCACTAACTGTCCCAAATGTCATTTTAGATCAGTGCATTCAATTTTCATTTTATTTTAAATTAGAGAATTGTTCTAAATGTTATCAATAGTAAATTTTTCCTAGAAGGAAGGCATTCTAAGGGTAACAAATTATCTAAATTTGAAGATAAGCATTTAATTTGTAATGTTGGAACTGTTGCTGAAGTTCAGTTACTTGATTTACATATTCTAGAAATGAAGGATTGTCAGAATATGGTGATAAAAATAAATGGGAAAATAGGAAATTTGAATAGCATATCAAAATGTTTTTAGCTAAGGCATAATATTGAAATGTGCTTTATCCCTAGGAAAATGGATGTCCATTTGAAAGTAATATATTTTCTCAAGCTGAATTGAGAAGTGAAGCAATAAGTGGGAACTTAGACTATGTTTTATCATTTTGTAAGTATGCAACATTAGCAGTAAACTTGATAGGTGTGGTTTTAGTTACTAATGAAAGCATACAGGATAGTTATTGCCCTCAATGCCTACCTCAGTGTAGTTCAAGGTAATTTCCTTGAAAGCAAGGAATTTTTTATGTTTTGTTTAAGTCAAACTGATAAGACAGCTTATGATTTGATCTTGTGGATAATTTGGATGTAATTTTGAAGTTAAAAGAACCTTAGAGATAACATGGTGGTAGGTAGAACTGGGGATCCAGAAGACTTGGATTTTGTTTATGGGACCGGGAATAAGCCTGTCTACCTTTCTCTGCTTCAGTTTCATGAAATGGGGACAGTATTACCTATCTATCTACTTTGTGGAAGTTATGAAAATCATAATGAGATACTGTGCCTGAAACTGTTTGCTAAACTAACTTCTAGTTTAGCTGTAAGTTACATAAAGCCAGTCCTCAGTAACAAAAACACAGCAAATTTTTACTAAATTCTTTTAAATGCAAAGTTGCTTTACAATGTTCATCATGTTAATAAAATTACCTCCATTGATAGATAAAGGAAGGCATAGAGAAGTTAAATGACTTGCCCAAAGTTAGCAGTTTGGCTAGAACCAACATTTTCTATCTTCAACCTTGTTCTTTTCACCATAGTACATTTTAATAATTAGGACATTTCTTAATGTCTTCACTTTGTAACATATTTAGGATGTTACTTGGGAGTTTTTAGATCTTGTGAAGAAAATATTATTTAAAAACAAAACACAAACCTTAATTTCTAACCCCTAGAACAGGGGTGGGCAACCTTTTTGTGAGTGCGTGCCAAAACCAGCAAAATCTCTGACTCAAAATTCTTCTGCATGCCAACCCTAATTTTTTGACATGTTACGCCTACTTGATATCTCTTAAGGTGTACATATGCGAAGAACCTTGAAGAAATAATAAAATTCATTCGAGCGACAAAAACACAGTATAGGATGATGAAAAATACATTTATTTTTTAATGTATACATGTACACTGATAGTCCGACAGAAGACTTTATGACTCCGTTTGATATTTATTATCAGTGGAACTTTTGCTGCTGCATCACTGATGACAGAGATTTTACATCAGGTTTATATTTCGTGCCCTTACGAGAGATGCACCTACACTGAATTTATCTGAAAAATAAAAAAGTTGATATTAAGAAAAAAAATTGTAAATGGAAGATTATAAGAGAGGGTTTCGCATGCCAAAAAAAGTTACTGGCTTGCCATGTTTGGCACGCATGCCAGGGGTTGCCCACCCCTGCCCTAGAATATTAAAAGTTAAGCTCTGATTAATGTATATTCAATTTTATAGGTGGAAACTTTGTAAAAACCAGATAATTGGTATATATTATCTGTGTGTATGTTATTTAAAATAGTTTATAATATTTAAAGAAAAGACAAAATATTCAGTATGAAAATTAGTGGCTGTTAAGGGTGTAGTTACTTGAGTTGAAGGTTGTATAATAATGCTGGCTGCTGGCTGTGTGTATTGATTTTGCCTTCCACTCTATATAATATATAGATTTTCCATTGTGACAAGATGAAAACAGAAACATTAGCTGAGGAATCTGGGCATATACATGAGAGCTGCCATTACTCATTAGCATACCATCCATTCCACTTCATTGTCAACCCCTTGATTTTTCAGACTTGTTTGTTGCTAAGGAAACTAGATGTTTTCTCGTCAGCAGCCTTCAACTTGCTGATGTTTCTGCTCGCCCTTTTAATGAATAAAAACCTGACAGTATTCTGTAAAATATTAATTTGAATAGTATAAAAATAAATTTTCAAGAGATTATTTATTAAATTAGAAAAGAAATTCCGGGAACTTTAAGACTAGAGCAGTTCAGTTCATGCCTGTGTGTGCCTCCTCTCTTCTATTGATTTGCAGGTCTCTGGAGATTAGTTAGTTCTGTAATTGTTGGTAATCACTATTGGCAGCTCCCAGGTCTGCACTTTTGGTTACCATATCACAAGGATGGCTTATCTAGATGGAGTTTGTGGACTAGTAGGAAACATTTTCCCACTTGTGTTTGTAGGCATGAAAAATTAATTTGATCAAGCAAATTAAAGGTTGTTGAAAGACTATTTCCTTGAGTGACTAAATAACATCATTTTAAAAATGATTTTTAGATTTTCAAATCTATATATATAAAAGCCTAATATGCAAAGTGTCCCCTCGGGAGTTAGATCGCTTCCTATGATGTGCGCTGACCACCAGGGACAGAACAAAGGGAGGCCCCAGCCAACAGCCAGGGAAGGGAGGCCCTGGCCAGCAGCCGCTAGGGACCCTACCTGTGCACAAAATTTGTGCACTGGGCCTCTAGCGTTGTATAAAAACCCTGAGAAACTTATGCTCCTTGGTGAAGGGCTATAACAGGTGGTCTAAAACACTTCTACTTATGTGTGTGGGTTAAATTTTTATTCACATTTAGGAGAGATGAGCAAATAATGTTACAATGTACTGTGACTTTTCCCATGAGGTTTTTTTTAAGTTAACCAGGTATAATATCTTAATCTTCACCTAAACTGTGTTTATTAATTATCTTCAGAATTTGCTTCCACTGTGAGTTCCTCTATAATTCAATTCATCTTGGACCATTCAGTACCCAAATTACATGTTTACTGAAAAGATTAAGTCAATTATTTATAACATGGCACCACTTTTTTAAAAATAAATATCCCGAGTATATTTTTCCCATTGATTTTTGGAGAGAGAGATTGAGAGAGAGAGAGTTTGAGAGAAAAACATTGATGTGAGAGAAACATATTGACTGGTTGCCTCCTGCATGCACCCCAACTGGGGGCAGGGAGCAAACCGCACAACTGAGGTACATGCCCTTGACTGGGAATTGGTCCCTCAACCCTCCAGTCCAAGGGCTGATGCTCTAACTACTGAGCATCTGGCCAGGGTTAACATGACACCATTTTATTTTATTTTTATTTTACATGGCACCATTTTAATGCAGTAACATGGAAAATACATTTAGGAGATACCTACTGTGATTCTATCCCTTGCTCCTTAAGGTCTGATGCTAATACCAAGGCCAATAAGACTTATAATGTCAGTACTGAGACATACAAGGATGCAGACTGTTAAAAGACAAAATGAGTACTAGAGCAAACAAATGCTCAGAAAAGTGAAAGATCAGTATAAATCAATTAGAGGCCCAGTGCACGAAATATGTGCAGGGTCGTAGTGGCTGCCGGCTGCTGGCTGGGGCCTCCCTTCCCCTGCTGCCAGCTGCCAGCCAGGGCCTTCCTTCATTCCGCACCACTTCCTGGTCAGCGCATGCCATAGCAAGCGATCAAACTCCCGGTCGGTCGAACTCCTGAGGGGACACTGCATATTAAGCTTTCATATAAGTAGATTATATAACAAGTAAAGGCCTATTTTATGACTTCAGGTTGTTACTCTCTCATGAAAGCTTGTCATTGATCATAGTGAAAAGTAGAATGGGAAAGTGTGAATGGTTTAATAGAACCCAATCCCACTCCCAGAAAAGTTTTCCTCCTCATCTACTGTCTTTAAAGATCAGGGGTACCATAAGGTATTTACATTCTGCCCCTTTGTAGTGCCACACTGCCCATTTAATATGCAGCCTCAGGATTTGTACCAGGCTGACTCTAAGTATGCTAGTAGATTAGTTATTGTCATATATATGAAATAATATGAATAAGTTCATTAGTTATATTTATACACGTGAAAACTAAGTAAAAGTGTTTCAAATGGATAGTTTACATTGTATGATACTGAATATAGTATAGTATATGATACTGCAATATCTAGTAATTATTTATATATGAAAATATTTCCATTTTAAACATAAAATTTCCAAAATGAGTATTAAAAGATATTGGTATAAAAGTGTTTCCAAATAAGTTGATAATTTAAGTTTTTGTCTTTGGTCTGAGATTTAATGATGACAATTTTCTTTTGCAGTGGAATCAAATACATTGCCTTTCTCATTTACTTCTTTGAGAGGCACCCTAATTCTAGGCTTTAGGAGGTAAGATGATCACCTTATATGTCCTTTACCTGAATATGGTCTGATTTCTACTGTCTTTTTGACCTACTATATAAGAAAAGACAGATATTATTCTAAATCTTCCAATGTCCTAGTTACCTGAAATGATCTTAAATCTATCGCTTCTCGGCCTTTTGGCTAAGATCAAGTGTAGTATCTGTTCTTATGAGTTTAATATCTGATACGTCCTCTATCCGAGGACAATATATTAAATGTATTTTTGAAGCTGGGAGTTGGAATAGGAGCTTGCTCCGTCCACTCCAAGGAAAAAAAAATAAAAGTTTATTTTATTCTTTCTACTAAGTAGTTAAATTGAGTTTATGTAGCCTTTTATACCATCTTTTCCAAGAAATACACACCAATTTGGTAAAGGTCTTGTTTTAATGAAGAAAGCACTATTTGAATTATGGTGAATTGGAGTTATAGTCAAATTTATATGTATGTTTGATTTATACTTTGAATATTTAATTACAAGGTGACTTTTATTCAATATAATACTGTGTTCCTCCTCTGTGTGCTCAGGGAATGTTAATGACCTTTTTCTTCCCACTTTTGTTTTTTTTTGAAAACATTCAAACATAAAGAAAAATGGAAATAATAGTAAACATCCACATACCCTTTATATAGATTTACTATTTGTTGATATTTTGCAATATTTACTTTTTTATATACTCTTATAACTTGCTTTCTTATATACTCTTTCTCAGTATTTACTTGATTTCTTATATACTCTTTCTCAATATTTACTTGCTTTCTTATATATTCTTTAGATATAGATATTTGTATAGTTATGTATGTGCACAATGAGGTGGAGCAAACTTGTACATACATACACTGTTACTTCTTTTTTACTGAACCACTTGAAGTTGTAGACATACAGATGATATTGGATCCTTCAGCTTACAACTCTTAAAAATAAGTCATCTGTATAATCACCAATATCACTCCAAAAAAATTAATAATGCTATAATATCACCGTATTTAGATTGTCATAATTCTGTTTTGCCTTTTTTTTTTTTTTTTGGGTGCCGAAACCTGCCTGTCATATTTTTTATTGAGGATTTAATTAAGGTCATGCATTGCGTTTGATTGCTGTATTTATTTTTTTTTAATTTATATTAATTGAGAATAGTTTCCTTAACTGTTTTGTCTTTTATGATACTGAGTCCAAGCTACTTTATCTGTAGAATGTACCTGTCACATTCTGTCTGAATTTTTTTCTCAGACTCAGATTGAACATTTTTAGCTAGAATACTTCATAGGTGATAAGTATTTCTTATTGTCTCAAGAGTTATAATGTCAGGTGTCAAATATTGGTGCCATCAACTAAGTTTGAACGCTTGGTTATGGTAATGGTTCCCATATGTCTCCTCTGCAAAGGAACCTTACCCACTTTGTAATTAGTAAGAAGTCTATGGGTAATACTTTGAGACAATGTGTCTATCCTGTTTCCTAGCACCTTTCACTCAGTGGTTTTAGCAGCCATTGGTAATCCTTGTTGAATCAATTGTTAACAGTGGGATTGCAAAAGGATGAGTATTTAATGACATTCCTAATAGAGTCCAAATTAACTACCTGCAACTCCTGTAAGTATTAGCACATAACAGATCGACTTAGTTAACTCTATCAAAAATAATTATTTCTCATTGTCAGAAATATTAGAATTTATAGAATATTAAATGATATCTCATAGTCACTTGAGCTAATTCTAAGGGAAACTTGAGTATGCCTTTCAGTGTTGGAATTTGATTTTGGGGATACTTAGCTACCTTTAATATAATCTGCCTCCTGGTGGTAGGTCCAGGGTCTATGAGGCAATAGTTCAACATGTGTTCTGGAACCTGTTTTGGCCAAGATTAATTTTTTATAGTATCCAACAATAATTTTGAAAAACCAACAATGTTTTCTTCTTATCTTTTGAAAGTAGTATTTAAGAGGCAATTTAGTATTTCTTTAAATTGATAAGCTCAAGAAATGGTCATTGATTACCAATCTAAAGTTTCCCAGTTTATAGATTAAATTGTCTAACCTATGTAGGCAAAAACAACTATAAAAACTATTTAAATTCAATACTGCTTAGGTAAGGTGAGATTATTTAAGATTATTAGGGAATTTTTACTTTTAACCTTTTTTTTTTTTTAAGGCTGTTTTTGAGAGTATAACTTAAAGGGCATTTAGATCTAACTTTTAAAGTTAGTAAATTCTTATGTCAAATTAAGGGCAAGAAAAAGTTTAGCATAAATAAGACTTTCTTTTCTCCCAACAGTAATGCTAGCTTTACAAAGTTCAAATGAGAAATATTACTGAAAACCACCACTAGAAATATTGAATCACTTCTAGGAGACAATGTGTCACTGAAGCTAGGTCACAACTTAGCTGGGAGTATTGCATTTCAAAAAGAAATGCTTCAGAATTTCTGTGGAGGCATTTAGGACTTCATAGTCTACAGAGAAAGAGCTCTGTGATCTAAGGAGGAATTTCTGACCCATTGCAGCAGTCTGAACTTGGCAGGTGGGAGTCTACTGTTGAAGTGGGGCTGCTTTTCATATGTTAAAAAAAAAATCAAGTTTCTGTTGCTAGGTCCTTTTGAAGTCACCAAGTTAAATGCCATTAATATTCAGTTTTCTCCTACCCATTCACAGCCCTGAAGAAGCTTACAGTAGGAGACTAAGTAGATGTACTGAATGTATTGACAAAGGGATTTTAATATTTGATTCAGCATCAAATGAAGTAAAAGGTTACATTAATGCCAAGATAAAGGATTGTAATGACATTGATTATGTCTGCTACCTTTTGCACACCCCCTACTGGGGATCAAGCCCACAACCCAGGCATGTGTTCTGACCAGGAACCAAGGTACATGCCCTTGACCGGAATCGAACCTGGGACCCTTCAGTCCGCATGCTGACGCTCTATCCACTGAGCCAAACCAGTCAGGGCTACAGTTACAATTTTTATTTAGGTCACTTTATCATTTCTTCTGTTAACTGATTTCTCATTCCATCTTTTTTTTTTTTTCAAAACTTTTTCTTAATGTGCTTCAGTGGAGGGATGATTTCATCATAAGGAAGAGGGTTCTAGGGGGGCATGGAACATGTTTTTGGGTTTTATTTTGGAACAAAGAATTACAGGAAGTTGTAAAGATAGAACACAGAGAACCTATGTACTCCCCACCCATTTTCCCCCAATGGTTATATCTTATGTAACTACTAGGGGCCCAGTGCATGAATTCGTGCACCTAGAAAGGAACTGTGGACCGTGAGGCTGCAGTGGGCTCAGGGGTGGGTCTCAGCCCATCTTCCACATCCCCCACCTGTCCCCTCCATCTGCGGCCCCTGGTCCCCTGCTCCACATTCCACCCCTGGTGCAAGCGGGGCCAGTGCCAACAGGGGCGAGTGGTGGCTCCAGCACCAACAGCAGGTGCGAGCGGGGCTGGCGCTGGCAGCAGGTGCAAGCGCCGGGCAGGACCACAGTGTGCGGGAGCAAAGAATTTTCAGTAACCATCAGAGGCTTCCCCTGATGACAGCAATAGTGCCCTGCCTTGGTCTGGTGCCCCCACTCACCTGCTCCACCATCCCTCCGCAGCTGAGGCCTGCCATGTTCCATGCTCTGCTGCCTGCTGCCAATGCCCTCCATGTTCCGTCCACATCCCCTGGTTGTTAGTGCACGTCATAGCGACCAGTTCGGTTGTTCTGCCATTCTGTCTATTAGCATATTACCTTTTATTATATAGGATAGTACTTTATCAAAACCAGGAATTTTATATTGGTGCAATGTGTGTGTATAGTTCTCACATTTTATCACTGGTAGGTTTGTGTAACCATCACTACAATGAAGATACAGAACTATGTCATCACCACAAATGTCCCCCTGGCATTACCCCACTATGTCATACTGCTCTCTCCCCCACCCACCACTGCCAACCCATGGCAGCGATTAATTTGTTCTCGATTTCTATAATTTTGTTATTTTGCAGTTGTCTCATAAAGTATGTTTTAAGATTGTGCTATTTTCGCTCAACATTAATATCCCTGAAATCCATCCAAGTGTATCAGTAGTTCATTCTGAATGTTTTTAAAGTAAAAGTAATTGCCCTGTTAACTCACTGTACCAAAACTCATTCCTCCCAAAACTGCCCAACCTCAGGTTTAAAAAGGCCCATAAATTTTGTGGGCATTTTATACTGTAAATGTATATAATTATGATAAGTATATAAATTATATTTATATTGTAAAAATTATAATTAAAACACATAGTCTTAGATTATATGTTTGAATTAAATATGCAAAGTTTATAGACATTACGTTTACAAAACTTAGAAGTAGTATAAGATCAGTGTTCATTGGTTATCTTGTTTTGTAAATGGATTTTCATTTAAACAGGCCAAATTTGGATAAGCTGTTCTTTTTGCTTTCTTTGAAATAATTTCAAATTTACATAAAGTTACAAGAATACTATAGTGAACTCTTATTCCATTTATTAACTTTTAACATTTTGACACATTATCATTATTCATTCCCTCTGTCAATCTGTATATACACATAGTTATATAAAATTTATTTTTTCAGAACTGTTTGGGCTTAGGTTGCACATATATCATGACGCTTATATGTCAGTATATAATGCCACAGAACAAGGTTATTCTGTTATACAACTACAGCACAATTAGCAAATTCAGGGAAATTAACATTGATTGAATATTTTTGTCTAATATAGTTTATGCTTCAGTTTTATTAATGATTTTCTTTTTTTGTATTTCCCCCACTTCCCTCCTGTACAGAATCCGGTTCAGGGATGAATGTTGTCTTTTTAATTTTCTCTAACCTGAAACAGTTCTCCAGCCTTTGTCTTTTATGATGTTAACATTTTTGGAGAATATAGGCCAGTTATTTTATAGAATATTCCTCATGATGGTTCCATATGATTAGCTTCAGGTTACATATCCTGCCTGAAATGCCACAGGAGTGATGTTTCCTTGGGGAATTAAATCTAAAATCACACTGTCTATCAGCATCTCATTAGTGATGTTAATTTTGATCACCAGGTAAAGATGTTCAGTTTCTCCATTGTATGGTTACTCTCTTTACCATTACAAGTAATAAGCAGTCTGTGGGCATACACTTAGAGACCATGCAAATATTTTGCTCCATCAAAGTACTTAATGATTCTTACCCAAACTAACTTTTATTTTGGGGGTTCAAAGTCAGAGAGTCAACTTTTCTAAATTACCTTCTCCTGAGAATTCGACTTATTTTTGGAAACATTTATTTACCTATTTGTTTTAAGCCTTTGATCTGTATGCATTACATATAATAATTGCTAGTTCGCTTTAACTTAAAATGTTTTTTAAACCACTGAGTTATTTTCAATCCTTTGCTGCCCTCTGCAGGTCTATGAATATAAATCTTTGGAGCAAGGTAAGTACTTCTAATACAGCAAATCGTAAGGCGATGTATAAAAAGCTATTAAGAGCAAGAGTTATGTTATACACATTTGTGATACATTGTTACAAGTTAGTGAGTTTAGAATCTTGAAGTTAGTTTTAAAATTGCCTTCCTCGATCATGAAATTTATTATTGAAGCAATTCGTGTCCTAAATTCTTCATAAGGTTTTTAATTTTTCCAAAGGACAACTGTAAACATTATTGCATTGATATTTGATCATACAGATTTAATAAGTAATTTTAAAATATGTGCATTCAGACATATTTGTGTAAGTGTATCTATGTGTAAATGACATAAAGACCAATTTTAAACTTGTCTTTTTAAGATGTTAACTGCTTTTATGCAGGAAATACAATTATCCTTATGTTGAATTGCAAGAAATATTTGTATCTTAATAAAATTAAAATGTACAATGTTAATCCTATTTTCAATTTAAATATTTTTTGAAATCTAAATTTTACTCAGTTTTGTTTTTAGTATTATGTTGCTATTCAAACTGTATAGTCAGGTATAATATATGGTGGAGATTGTTATATTTGTAAGTAATTTTTCCACTAGAAAGGCTTTTTTATTGGTTTATTCATTATTCAATGTGTGTTCACAAATTGGTATTAAATGTTGCTGTCTTATTTAATGTATGGCTACAACTTCTGATAAAGTGTATTGTCTATCTTCTATATGTCTGTGTTGATTGAAAACAGTTTGTAGGTGACAATTGTTTTACTTAGTTTTTAAACAGTTTCTACCTTTTGAAATGCCATTAACCACAGCATGGTTTTTCATGGTGGAATGAAGTGGGATATGGTTAATTTTATCTCATTTTCCATATTAGCAAATAAATAGTAGTAGAATTAACTGCAGTTTGAGTTGTTAACACTTATAATATGCCTCAGGTACTATTTGAAGAGCAAAAAAAAAAATTAGTTTTAAAATACACAAAGCATAGTTTAGTTCATGATTCCTCATATCACTTTGGAAAATAGCTGTATGTTTTTGTTCTTATCTTCAGTCCAGGGATATATAGTCAGAATATTGTGTTCAAAAATTACAAGTCAGTGCTATAGATTTTGTAATCATTTTCATCATAAAATACATTTGGGTTTTGTTTTTTTTAATTAAAAATTTGCCAGCAGGATTAACTTTGAATAAGTGTTGTGTATGTGTTTTAGTGTTTGCGTATTCAATTGATAAGAATTGAATAATGTGTGAGAATAAACACATTAGAACTTCTGGCCCCTTTTCTTTTAATGCCATTAAAATGCCTGGGAAAAGATTGTTGAAAATTAAAATAAAATAAATGGTCCAGGATATTTTCCTTTATTATTTCTGTAATACTTCACTTAAAAGAGGCAACTGGTCCAATTTCAGCAAGACCAAAAACAATACGATGAGAAAAAATATTGGTTGATAATTCCTATATGCTCTTTCTTATTTATAGCAATTCATTTAAAATAATATATAAACAAATCAGTTTAGAGTTTTTCTTAGTGACATTCATAAAACACATTGCAGTTTTCCTTCAACTTGTGTTTGTTTTGGTTTTGTTTTTAAAAGACAAACCTATTATTTAAGAACGAAACAATCTCCTTGGCAGGTGGGGGTGGTGTTGAATTACGGTGATACAGAATGATATCTTACTGGGGAGAAGCTTTATTATTTCAAGAATTCAATTTCAGATTGCATTTATTCTTGTTTGCTTCTCTTGCTGCAATGCACGAATTTTCTGTCTTAACAGATAACGGAACTGTTGTACAAGGATGGACGTTATTGCCAGGAGCCTCAAGGACCAATGGGTAGCGTTTCAATTTCGATGATTGTAACTTATCCACAAATTCATTCTTCTGTGTATTGATGGGCTAGAAAGATTACAGCAATAAACATTTTCTTTTTGAAAGTGAAATTTGAAAACATTTGGTTTTTCTTTATGTTGATAACCACAACATTTTGAGATCTATGAGTTGTTTCGTTTTGTCATATTTATTTTCTTAAAAGACAGGATTGGGAGGCTTTTTCTTTTTAGGAATTGAAGAAATGCTTCTTATAGTACTGATGAAAGTAGGCTTACAAATTTGTAATCCTTAGTGTTTATGTGATTTTAATGTCTTATAGGTGTTAATTTTAAACATATAGAGTAGTAAAGAGGTCTTGGTAGATTTTTTCATTTAAATATAGTTTATTACATTATTTAACATTTAATATTTTTCATTATTTTTATATAATGGGGCCTAGAATATAGGGTTTTCTATAAGAAGGTACGCTCCCTGAAAGTTCGGATTTTCTAGGTATTAACACATGGCCCTATACATTTTATGCTTGAATGCATAGAAAAATTACTGTTGTTATAAAACATCTTTGTTAATCTTAGTTTTTCATTGGCTAATAGGCAGCTCTCCACAGGATTGCTGTATCTGCTTATTAAAATTATTTAACTTTCTATACTCAACATTTAACAATCCTTTAAAATTTTATGTTTCCCTAAATGTTGCCCATAAAAAATTAGTACAGAAATGTGTACAAGGCATTTATTTATTCTCACTATTGTGATTTGGACAGGAAAGAAGTAAGGCCTTGGGCAGGACCACTTCTGTCAGAGAGTGGTAGGAAAAATAGATTGAAGTAAGATTCAGTACTGAAAAGCTGTCACTCGGTCTGAAAATAATTAATATTCCTTTCACTCACCAGTTAGATATGTGCTCCCAAACCACATAATCTCTATGCCTCAGTGATCATTGTTGCCATTTCAGAGCCTCTCATCAGGGTGACATCTCACACCAAAATGATTTCTTATAAATTAATCTTGATAACATGACAGTCTCAGTAATTTTAGTGGAATGCTTTCTCTTGTTTTTTTTCCACAGAAGCTGTTGGCTATTTTCTTTATAACTTGATTGACAGCATGAGTGACTCAGAGGTACAGGCCAAGGAGGAGCGTTTGAGACAATACTTCCATCAGCTGAAGGAGATGGTACCATTTCATTTTTTGCTATATAATGCCTGTCCTGCCTGACATGTATCTATTAGATTTGAAATTGCTGCTTTTAAGTACAACCAGACCACTTCTCAATGACATACAGGAGTTGGAGACTTAAATTATGTCTGAGATAATTTCTGTTAGACCAATTTCAGTTTGCTTGTCTAAAACTGAATGGGTTTTTTTTCTCCTTTTGCACAGAATGTAAAAATTTCTGAAAATATCTACAGAGGCATTCGTAACCTACTGGATAGCTACCACGTTCCTGAATTGATTAAGGTGTGTGAGAACTAATAATTAACTTTTTAAAATGTTTAATTTATATATAAAATCACGTTAAAATTTTATTTAACTATGATGTTTAGCCCAAGAAAATTTATTTAAATGACAATTACAACAAGGCGTTTTCATTGATTATTGGTAAATACTGTTTATATATTGAAGAATTCATTTAAAACATTTATTATAATGGTTAATAAAATATGACAGAATTTCTGGAAAATTTTGGAAAGATGGAAAAATAGCAGTAAAACGAGGCAGGACTTTCAAAATTTGCTTTTGACATTTGCTAATGTATTTTTCCATGTGTTTTCTAATGCTAATTTAAATCCCAATTTTAGGATGTTCATTTGTTGGTTGAAAGAGAGAAGACAGACTCTCAAAAAGTAAGTAGGTTTTTTGAGTAGATTCTACCTACTATAAAAACCACATTTAATGAAAATTCTAGACCGTCTTTATAAAATCAGTGGTTCCTAACATTTTGCCAACAGTATAACTCTAAGAAAGAAGTTGGTGAAAGCTATTCCCCAACTCAGAAAAATCAACACATCTAAGAAATTTTCATATAGTCTCAGGAGCTTTATAAATCTCTAGAATCCATTCACAGAATCCCAGATTAATATTCTTGATAGCATTTATGACATTTCGGAAAGGTCAATTTAAAGGGAAGAGTGGCAAAAATAAATAATAAATAAACAAACAAATAAACAGAAGAGTGGCAAGGGGTACATTTTCTTTCCTTTTTTCCTTTTTGTAGTAAATTTCTTTCCTTTTTTCTTTCCATTTCTGTAGACTTATAAGGCTTCATCGTCTGATTTGGAGTCTACACTTGAAAAACTAAAAGCTGAAAATCAACCTGTAGGAGATATCCTAAAGCAACTCATATTAGTGCTTTGTTCAGAAGAGGTAACATTTGTTTAAATATTCAAAATATGCTATTAAGGCAAAAAAATCTTTATAGATAAAAGTATAGGCAAAGCCAAATAGAATACTTGTGATTTTTTACAATTATTATACATCTTGCCTGTGAAGAACGCAATTAAATGAAAGGTTAACTAATTTCCACTACACCTTGAATGGCATGTTTTCAGGTTGCTGTAGTTTGTTTACAATAATCTGCACAGTGAATGATAGTAACAGCCATGATAGGTTTATCATACATGCCAAATGTCCTTTCAAGCCATGGCTCCGGTCTCTTATATCTAGATTGTCAAGCAACTGATACATGCAGTAGTCATTTGCAAGTCAAATATTACTAGATTGTTAATGCAGGGATTGAAATTCCATTTTCCTGCTGGAAAAAAAGCTCTTTCTGAGATAAAGGGTCTCTTGCTTTTTTCCAGCAGGCGTCCAGCTGTACTTTGTGTTTATTTTAGTGTGTGTCTGCAATTTGTGGCATATCACTAGATTTTTCCAGTTTCTAGTTCAGTATGATTTGGTTGTATGCCTGTGATTTTAGGGAAAAAATATAACAGGTTTTAAGATTGTAACATGGTACTGTTAAATTCCAAAATATTTTTTCACATTACTTGGAAATTAAACTAGACTTTGAGGAACTTTGCAATGATACATTTTCTGTGTATGGAAATTAGACTGTGAGTAGGAGGTGGCTTGGTATATATTTAATCTGGAATGTCCTTTTTATAATACAGTACTAAAACATCAAATCTGGCATAGTGGTCTGTTTTGCATTATAGATAACAAATCTTTTAAACCCTACATACATGTCTTACCTGTTTTTCACAAGGTGAATGAAAATATTAAGGAACAAGGTGAAGTAAATAACTTGAATCCATTTATTTTTAAAGCACTTGTAACTTTTTCTACACTTAAACATTAAAACAAGAAAATTTGTATTTTCTTTTATATTTATTTATTCTTTTTCATGTCTATCCTTTATTTTAGAACATGCAAAAAGCTCTTGAATTGAAAGCAAAATATGAATCAGACATGGTTATTGGTGGCTATGCAGCTTTAATAAATTTGTGCTGTCGACATGATAATGCAGAAGAAGCACTGAACCTGAAACAAGAATTGTGAGTACGCTGGCACTGAAACAACTCAACCTTAATGCTGATACACTGTCCTTGATGGATCATGAAGATTGAACATTACTCTCTTATGTAATGTAATTTTTAAAAATTCTCTTTTGGCAGTGTTTTTGCATAATATGAGACTCTTTGATTAATTATGGCTTATTTTCAGCAAAGAGTCTTTGTTTAAGTACAAGACATACTATTCCTTTAAAGCCGAGATTCTTCCGTCCCCCTCACCCCCCCCCCCCCCCTCTTAAAACCCATTTATACAACTGCATATCACAACAGTGGTTATGGTAACTATTTTATAAGGCTGTTTAACAGTTTCCTTTCTATACTGTAGTGTAAAGAAAATTCTGTCCGTTTTTCAGGTATCTTTAGGTGTCTAATTTTGATAGATTTATAAAATAAAAGTATGTCTCTTTGAGTATTTCAATGTTCTTTACAAAGTTCGGATCACCTAGAGTGCCATGAAGCAAGAGTTCCTTCAATTCCTATCATTTGCAGATAGAGTGATACAGTTTATATGTAGTGCTAGAGTTTTATTTCTTTTGTCTTTTTGACTATAATAACAAGTGAATGTGAATATGGCTTTAAAAATAAACCTTAACTGAAATGTAGAGGCCAATATTAGCAACAATTCAGATTATCTGATGAGTGATAAAATGGATATTGCTGTTCTTTATGCAGTTAATCGACTTTTAACATAATGTAAATTTGGGTTTTAACTTTTAGTGACCGGTTAGATTCATCTGCTGTCCTTGACACCAACAAGTATGTAGGCCTTGTAAAAGTATTGGGAAAACATGGCAAACTCCAAGGTAAGTCTGGGCATATAAAGGAAATATGTGATGCAAGTATCTTGCCACTGGAATAACATGTGAATTGATATTAATGGTATATCATGTCCTGCAAAGTGCTTGAACACTTTGCATACAAATTTGCATGTGAATCCAACCAGAGCAGCATGGACAGTGTAGGCCATTAGTTTTAATGGATTGGCAAGCGTGTCATTTACATTTGCACAGCTCAGTGCTTTTTGCACTTGTGCAGCTAGTTTTTATTAGCATTGCTATTTGGGTTGAGTTTGAAGATCTTGGCTTATGGAACAATTTGCTTATATGCCTGCACTAATGGCTTTGTTTTTGCTTTAAATGTCTGAAGGCTGAACATAAAACTTACAAACATAGCCTTTATTTAAGAATATGAATTTTGCTGCAGTCTTTGTCTTACCTTTTGGTAACATTCACCAAATGTGCACTTTAACAAGTTTTTATTTAGAAGTTTTCAGGGAAAACCTAGATAATATATAGCTGATGTGCATACTCTAGTTTTCTCATTGTTAAGATAATGCTAAGCCTAATATAATTAATCACACTTGATATATTCTTACTGTTTGCTTGTTTCTTAACTTTCTCGGTGGGTTTTATTTTGAAACTTCTTTTTCAGCCTTCCTCTCTTTTATTTCTAGAGATTTTTAAAAACTTATTTTATGATGAAAAATGTATGGAGAGATTATTTGATTTGAAAAATTGAATTTTTTCCTAGGAAGCCTTTCTAACACAGAAAATTCTTTATAATGATTAGCTGCTTTTAAAAATCACTTTTTGTAAAGCGGTCAAAACATTTTGCCTGTGCAATAATTAAGAGCAACATTATAAAAATGCACTTATTCCATATCCTAAAATGTTTGTTTCTGCCTTCCTAATGAAGCTTAATGAATCTAATGTATTAACATGCAGTCTTTTGGAAAGCTTTCATTGGCTCTGCTTGGCTAATTAGTATCGACATAGCAAACAGGCCCTATCGGTATCAGACCATTAGTCTGGCTGTATATACAGTGTAAACACATCTTTATTATCTGGCTTCCTGACAAGCCATCTGCTGAAGAAACAATGGTGTGATTTAGCAGATGTTAGCTCTGAACGATAAAAGCATCCATTTAGGAGGATCTTAACAGCTATAGGGCAGACCGTACAGGGTTATGTGGTGCAGAGTGGGCACACAGTCCCTATCTATAATTTGTAGTCAAAGTTGCAGGGAAATGATAAAACCATGCTATTGTGGATTTATAATTGTAGTCTCGTTTAGAAATGCAAGTAGTAATTAACTTGAAATCGGCATTATACACTAGAA